GAAAGGAAGAAACTGGGTAGTTCTCCACCTAGCAAAGGACTTGAATCCATAGTTAGAAACTTGTCACAAAGAAAATGCCTATACCCAGATGGCTTCACGAAGAACTGTACCAAACATTAAGGGACAACTGCAGGTCTTCCAGAAAACAGGAGGGAACACTTCTGAGGCCAGCATTACTCTGACGCCAAAACCAGACAGGCATTACAAGAAAACCATAGACCAATATCTTTCATGAAAATATATACACATGTGAAAAATTATAACAAATCAAATCCAACATCATGTACATATGTGTATTTACATATGTATGAAGCTAATACTTTGTGACCAAGTATGGTTTATTCCAGGAATGCAAGGTTGGTTTGACATTTGAAAATCAAATCAACGTAAATCATTATAATTAACAGATGAAAAATTATATCACATCATCTCTGTATACGTAAGAAAACTTAATAAAACTTGATATCCACTAATAATACAAACCTTCAGCAAAGAAAAAATAAAGAGGAGTGTTCTATGTTTGAAAAGGAGAATCTATAAAGCCTTTACATCTAATATCATACACAATGGAGGAGACATTCAACGCTTTCCTCTAAGGTCAGAACAAGGAGAACTGTCTGCCCTAGCCACCTCTACTCAACATGCCACTGGAGGAAAATAGGAAAGGACATTTGTATGGCAAAAGAAGTAAAAGTGTTTATTTGAAGATGATATATTTCCTACATAAAAATTTATTTTCTATGCAAAAATCCCACAGAATTTATAAAAAGTTACCAGAACAATGAGTGAGTTTAGTTAGTTTGCAGGATAAAAGGTTAAGACACAAATAGGTTATTTTGGTTTCATATAATAGCTACACATTGTCCAAAGCTGGAATAAAAATATTATGAACAATATTATGATTCCAATATAAGATGACTAGGGAACAATCTTACAAAGTATTTTCAAGTCTTGGGCACTGAAAACTAAAACACAGCTGAGAGAAGCTATAGGACCTGAATATATGGAGGGATGCATCGGACCCATGGGTTACCAGTCTCAATATTTTTATGATGTCAGTACTCCCCAGATTGATTTAATTCATAGCTATCCCAGTGAAAACCCAGTTAGCTATTTTGAAGAAAATGACCAACTGTATTTAATATTTAATATTCATATGAGCATGCAAATGAGCTAGATTAGCCAAACTACTGAAAAGGAAGCATGGTCCTGAGAATTACACTCTTGACTTCAAGGTTTATTAAGAAGCTTCAGTATTCAAGACACTGTGGGATTGGTGTCAAAATTCCCAGATGGATCGGTGAACTAGAGGAGAGATGGGGGGTGACTCTTCCATTGCCCTCTGACCCCCCTATCGTCCCTGGAAGGCTGTTGTGAGACAGATTCCTATTGTCTCTTGGGTTCTGATGAGCTCGGGCCTTCCTGCCTCACCCCTTCAGAACAGAGCTGCGGACCGTCCCTAAACTGCAAAGCCCAGGTCTAGACTTGGATCTCAGCCCTGGGGCAGCCTTCCACCCACATTGCCACCATCCAGCCCCCTTTGCTTGGATGTCATCATTTCTGTGTGTGGGACAGAGTAAAGACCATGAGGAGCTGGCACCTCTAGCTAGTCTTTCACTGTTCACACAAAAAGCGGTTCCTGGCGTCTTGTGTATAATTGAGAAGACCGTTCAGAATGAAACCCACACGTATGGAGTCAATTGGTTTTTGACAAAAGTACAAAGGGAACAGAGTGAAGAAAGTAAAGGGTTTTTGACAAATCGTCAAACTCTGTACACCCCGTTAGATATGCAGTTTTGGACCAGCTGGACACCCATAGGCAAAAACAAGCCAAACACATGCTTCACCCCATACCTCACTCTATAAGATCCAGAAATTAACTCCCAATGGAGCACAGCCATTGTTCTGGAGCAGCCCAGTTCGGCTGTGTGAGGACCAGGCCCAAGATGTTGTCACATGTGGAGAGTGGTGACAGTGACTGGGAGACCGGTGTCTGAGATTGGGGTCCCTGATGACTTCATGACTTCATGGTATGCCACCAAGTATACTTGGTGACTGGGAAAGTTTCTGTGCAAAGGCATAGGATGCCTGGTTGCTATGGAGATGTCCTCCATGCTAGAGTCTTATCAGTCTCGCCCTTATTCTCAGGCAGGCAGCTCCTGGGAGTGGGAGAACTTCCTTGCTGAGATAGCCACAGCGTTTGATCAGCTTTGCTCTCCTGAATCTGCCTGAGAATCAGCAACATTAAACAATAGACTTTCTTGAGCTGCCAAGGCTCCTAACATTGCACATTGCAGCTGTAGCATGTAACTGAGGAAGTAGCTGCACACTACTGCTAACTCTGTAACTTTCATGAATACAAAGAAAAACCACTTGGATAGTCTTTAGTCTGATTTAGAGACATATAAAGATTGCTGGTGTAATTCTTTAGATCTGCTTCTCCATCAGAGAGCAGCACTCCACCCGACCCTAGTGTTTTATCTTCAAGGTCTGCGTGTGTTGACTCTTTATTTCTTCCAATCTCCCATCACTCTTTGGGGCAAGCTGCTAGTTTGGCCGCGCTGGTCATGGCAGTCGAGGCTGAAGGGAAAAGGCAGGTAGATCCAGGATTGCACAGAATGCAGTTTATTGGAGGACTGACTTAACACTTGGATTCCTGCAATATGGGTCACCAAAGGGGCATATTTATGGATTAGGACAAAAGTGACTTTATCCTTGATCCTGTTTTATCTTAGGCTAATATTAAAGCACCAGGCACATCCCTGGAGCCAGGGTCTCGTTATAAAGCTCCATATACAACTCTAGTGTTTTTGTCTATTTATAGTTGAATGGGAAACTGAAGGAAAAATAGGCTACCTTGGGCCATCATGGCAGAAGTGCCTCAATATGACTGCCATCATGTCAAGCTGAATGCACACAGACTTAAATCTTAAAATGTAAAATTATGAAACTCATAGAAGAAAAAAGGAGAAACTCTTTGTGAGCTTCTTGGGTTATGCAAAAAGTTTTTAAATACAACCCCTAAAAAAAAAAAATGATACATTGGATTCAAAATGAAGAATTTCTGTTCTTCAAAAGACAGACACTGTTCAGAGAAGAAAATAAAAAACCAGAAACTAGGAGATGATATTTGTTCATCACATATGTAACAAGGAGACTTTTACCTAAAATATATGAAGAAATCCGAAAAATCAATTAAAAACCCAAACAACTCAATTTTAAAAATGGGCAAGAGATTTGAACAGACACTTCACCCAGTAAGACACACGGATGGTAAGTAATTAAACTGAAAGAGACTGAATATCACTAGTCATCAGGGAACACCAACCCAAACCACAAAGAGCTACTTCTACACCCCTGTTAGAGTGTCTGCAGTTAGTGGCTGACCACACTAAGAACTGGGGAGGATGGGAGGCAGACCCCGGACATGGGTGGTGGGAGTGTAAAGGGCACTATGGAAATTAGTGTGGCAGTTCCTTAAAAAGAATCTTCTGAATCCTGTCACATGTTCCACCCATTCCAATCCTGTGTATTTATCCAAAAGAAATAAAAGTTCATGCCCATACAGAGGGTTAGTAGCCATTTTATTTGTAATAGCTGGAAACTGGAAATGATCAAATGTATTTCAGCTGTAAATGGATAAGCACAGTAGTCCAGCCACACCATGGAACAGTACTCCAAGATAAACCGGAAGGAGCTATAGATACACACCACGACACTGATGAGCCTCAGAATAATTATGTCGAAAGAAAGCAGACAAAAAAAAGAGCATAATCCATTAATACGAAATTCTAGAAATTGATAAAAAAAATTGCTGAAAATTGCAGAAAGCAGCTCAGTGGGTGGATGGGAGAGTGAGTGTGGGGCCTAGGAGCTTTTGGTGAGGTGGATGGGTTCACCCCCTGCGGGACGGCGACGGTTCGCGAATGTGTACCTGTGCCCATCTGCCAAAGCCAGAACCCTGTTTCTTTCGCTCACTCTCCAGAGTGTGGGGGTCTGAGTCCTGAGTCCCCACGCTGAACCCGGGGGACTCTTCTTTGGTGGCG